TCGATTTCCAATGTAGTAAATTTTCTTTATATTGGTACTGTTCTAATATTGGACTGATGTATCCTCTACTAGAGACAGCTTAAACTCCAGTATTAGGTTATTTCTTGCTACTTGTTAGTATCTGTTTCTGTTCATCTTGTACTGCATGTCATTTCTTAAAGACATGGGGAGGGGGGAAACCCAACACTTTACTTTCAGCTTAGTGCGCCCCTGCACCAAGTGCAGCACATGGCCGGTAGAGGCATTGTGTTAGATTAACCTGGCTTGCCCCACATCTGTACAGCTCGTGTTTCAGTGGGGATTTTTGGCACTTCTTTATCTAATAGCTTTTTGATTTGGCGATTAGATAAAAGCACCAAAAAGCCCCACTGAGCCGTGAGAGCTGTACAGGCTGGGGAGCTGGGTCAACTGACATCATGCCTCTTTTGGTAAACCACTACTTGTTTTGTTTTTGTTGTGTCCTATAATGTGTCCTGTCCCGTGTCCTGTTGTGTCCCCTTCACCTTCTCCCCCCCCCCAGTCAGCGCCCTTAGACTTGGATAAAGTCTTTGTAGGGGCATGCTGAAAGCTAGAACCTGAGACCGCACAGTAAGGAAGGTAAAATTAATCTCCTCAGATGGTATGAGGAAATATCAAGGGGGAGAAAAAAATCCTTATCTGCCTCTTGCTCTTGTATCGACTAGATGTTTCCTGTTACTATAAAGAGAATGCTTTCCTCGTGACATCCTCTTTCAAATTCAGTCTCTATAAAATGGCAATTTGTGTTCCAGTATCCTACATGAGAATGTACTTGTCTGTTATGTGACTATAACTTGGTCGATTATAAAATAGCTAAGTTGTAGCATAATGTTTTTTCTGGTGTCACTGTGTAAGAACAATGAACTCTGCTTACACTGGGTAAGAGGCTTGACGTCCAGTACGGCCAGGTGCCTCTAGTAACCAACATAAAATTGTGAATTGTCAGCATGACCACTCCATCTAAATATGTCAATAAAAAGTAGTTAATTAAAAAAAAATGCACAATAGTCTATGTAGCTGGTTATAAAGTGTGTTTTTAAACTACAGTTAAGGTATACCTTGTGAATCTTGTTCCTTGTGCCTTAATCTATAAGATGCATTTTACCCTGCCTTGTACTCCTGTGTATATTTTCTTTTTGTGCAGTTTACTTCAAAATGAGTCTTTCAGTCCTGAATTTTCATGCTTGGAGTCTTAATACCTTTTCTGGTGTATCCTGGATATTACACATGCATCTAAAATACACATGCATGATTTGTTGGTTCTTGAAAGGAAAGTTATTGTGTGCATGCTTGAGGCAGCAAACCTTTATGATGGTGGTGGGGGGTGGAAGAGAGAGTGATTTTTTAAATACTACAGCTGTTGTAATAAATGTACTCTTCAATTCTGAGCTCTGTCTGTTTTTAAAAAGTGCAGGTGTTGATTGTCACTTATGCAGAGCCTTTTTTTAAACAGTAGCTCTTTTTAAACATGACTTCATTTCATTTACCATTTCCATCCTCACAGAAATGTGAAGTTAAAAAGCATTAGAACTTGTTAATATTTGGATCTAAAATGTTTTGTTTTTGTGTGAAGATGGGGAGAAGAGTCTTAACATAAAGCTTACAGTTCTACTATTATATGCAGTGATAAAAACAAAGGCTAAATATTTTGAACAAAAGCTATGTATAGGTTGAAATTCTCTCTAACATCTGTGTTCAGGGTGTGGCAGCTTAATATGGGCATTAAGCAGCTTTTGCAAACATTTGAATTTGTAATTTTTTTTTCATCTTTAGAGTACATGTGGGTACTATGTTGAAAGAAACGCTCCAAAAGTAACCATTTCCTGTAAAACTTAAGTTATGTGACCTGTTACTTAGAACTTTACAAGAAACTTATTCTGATCATTTTAAGAGCCATACAATCAATATTGCAACTTTAATAATCATTACAACCCATCCAGACTCTGCAAACTTCAAAAACGACAAATAACTTCACATCAATTTGTGTTGTGAATTTTTGAGCAGTTACTTTTTTAGCATATGCAGTTTCAGCATATTGTTTAAGCCATCTTAAAGCGATGTCCTCATCAGGGTGAAGAGCTTGAAGGCTACCAGGTAGCATTGTAAATGGACACGAGTCAGCAGTATGCCCATTTGAGAAGTTGGGCAGTGCCATCTATTTGGTTGCCCTGCTTTATTGATAGTTGAGTAAATGCTTGTTAACTTAGCTTTGTATTGTGGTAACCTTAGTATTAATAATGATTGAAAATAGAATACATACTTGTTCCCTATCGTCTTACTTAAATTTCAAAAAGGATATCTATTTTGCTGTATAATACAGTTATGCCAATGACTTTGTAAATGGAAGCATTATTTAATGTGATGTTGGTGCTTACTGAACCTCCATCAAGAGGGCTTCTTATTCTGTCTGTCTTCAGAAATATTGTTTTGGGAAAGCTATTAGTTATCAGAACCATGTCTACTAGCTGCTCTGCACAGTGCTCCTCTACCTTCAGTAGTGGCTGTGGGTGCACACATGCCTGGAGAGGAACTCGACTGGTGGTACAAGAGTCAAAACACTTAAATGTTCAACACAGACAAATAAATTGGCCTGTTCTGATGGGAGTTTTATCCATCATACAACAGCTTTTTTCACATCGCTGGTCTGGCCCCATCTTCCCAATGGGGTTCTAGCAGCCAGTCTAAAGTGTTGAACTTTTTCCTTTCTGTGCGGTTTTATTTTAATATTGCTGCTTTGACTGATTAAGTCCTCTGACCTAAAATAGGCCTTCTAGTGGAAACCTATGCTATCACTGTTAATGTTTGCTGTATGGGTAGCTTTGCTATTTTGCCTAAGTATGCACTCAATCCCATCATCCAGATCGTTAATGAATGTGTTGAACAATACTGGACCCAGGCCAGACCCCTGGGATGCCCCAGTTGATTTCTTCTTTCAACTAGACATTGAGCCATTGAGGACTACTCCCTGAGTAAGATCATCAAGCCAGCTATGTATCTACCTTACAATACTTTTATGTAGTCCTGTATTTCCTTAGTTTAATGAGGATATCATGGGGAATGGTGTCAAAAGCCTTGCTAAAGTTGAGATATACCACATCCTCTCCTCTCTTCCCCTCATCCATAGTGCCTGTCACCTTTTATCATAGAAGGATTGGCCAGGCTCTTGGTAAATCCATGGTAACTGTTTCTTACCACCTTGTTCTCCTCTATGTGCTTCACAGTGGATTTGCTGGAGTGGAAGTACCACCTGACTTTAACACACACACACACACACACACACACACACACACACACACACACACACACACACACACACACACACTTGAGTCAAACTCCTAGAAATGATGCAATGTGCTCCTTTTGATCTTAGGGTAGAAACTTATGTTGCCTGATACCAAATTTCTGGCACTATAAAAACGTTTATGGTGGCACAAATGGAGAACATAGATATCCCTACCTGTGGTGTGACCAAGTAGTGTTAACTAGTGCCCATTTTATTGGAATAGATGTGTATTGGTCCTGTGGTGGGAGAGTGCAGGTAGCCCAGAAGTGCCAGTACCCTCCAGCTGCCCCCAGGTAGGTGCTCTGGGGACTTGAGGTGCCCTGATTCTGCACATTCTAGGAATTCCCTGGCAAGATCAGGCCCCTTAAGCCTCAGGAGCACCTGCCCAGCTTCCCCTGCTTACTGAGATGCACTCTAGGGAGTTTTGGGGTACCTCTGTATAAACGGTCCTGGAATGGAGGCCATAGGTAGGACTAGGAATTGGAATGTGGGACTTGTCCCACCACAGCTTGACCTGCTTCATTTACTGACACCTATTTTTACCCTTACTTTTCTACTAGCTATTTTCTCTTTGTGCCTGTCTGACTTATTGTGTCCAGTGTGCCATAGGGCTGATCCAGGGATTTCTACATGGACTTTGATAGGAATATATTCTTTGGCATTCAAATGCAAGCTGTAAACATGGTTGTAGTCATAAATCTTCTTGACTTGCATATGTTGAATGGGGTGGCTTTCTGAGCTCCCATATTCCTCATCACTTAAAATAGCCAGGGTTTTGGTGGGTGGGTGTGGTGGGGATTTTCTTTTTGGTTTTTTTTGAGGGGGGGAGGGGGTTGTGGGAACAGAGCTGGTAGAGATACAAATTCACAAGTTAAGTTTAAATACTTTGTGTTTCAACATTCTGCTTTTTTAAACTCTTGCATCTTGCTATGATGTTTTAATATACTTGTATAACAGGGCGAGTTTGTCTAACTCATCAGGAATATTAATGTTCCTGTAGTAACATGCCAAGTTGTAATACAAATATTAAGAATAGATTTTAGTCACAGAAAACATGCCCTTAGTAAAATGCTAGTGAGTTTTTAGTAGCTTTATTTGTCCTTGTCCAGGCTTTATCGGCTTTAAGTTGCTTAAGTGATACGTATGTCTTGAATAGATTTCAGCTAAACCTTTTGCTTTCACTTCTTTCAGAAACTTGTTCACTTCATCTTGCTGAAAACATGTTATAATTTATCACTTTTTTTTGTTAGGAGTTGTGTTGACTGACCAGGTAGTCTTGTTTCTTTTGGACTAATCTTGGCTCATTAATTCCGAGGGCTGGGACTGGGCATGTTGGATGTTCTTGCAACTTGCCAGTAGGGCCTTCTAAAAGGGTTCCTACTTTTATTTTGAAAGCATGCATGTATTTCAGGATAACTGTTTATAAACTGGCATCTAGAGTTGGAAAGGGGATCTGGCTCTCTACCTTCCTCTTCTTCCCTCCCGTTCCTCTCCCCCCCAACCTTGTGTCCATAGTTTTAGAGATTCTTTTATATCAATTAATGCTATAAGGGAAGTGCTTCCAGTAATTCTTTGGTGTTCCAAGTGCTGCAGATAAACAGGCATATATGAAAGTACTTATAAAGGGCTGGAAATAAACTAAGTTTTGCCTTTCATTACTGTCTCTTAATATTCTTTTCTTTTTTTTTTCCTCCCCCAGGTCTTAGTGGTGCAATGGCTAGTATCAGCGTTCGTTCGAGTACCCCAGGCTCTCCCACTCACGTAAGCAGTGGCTCCAACGCTAGTCGAAGGAGAAATGGACTCCATGATGTTGATTTGAACACTTTCATATCAGAAGAAATGGCACTCCACTTGGACAATGGTGGAACTAGAAAGCGTACCTCAGCCCAGTGTGGCGATGTCATTACAGACTCCCCAACTCATAAACGCAACAGAATGATCTAAACTGCAAAAATTTCAAACCCACCATGCTGCTTGAAAGCCACTTGATCCTCAGAGTACTATTGAAAAGGAAACATGAGGCCATCTTCCCATATTCACTGTTTAAGACAAGTGAATTCAATAATTGCCATAAAGGAAGTTTTAGGTATTACAGTAGATGCCTCTTGTAACTGCGGCTTTCTTAAACTATATTCTTAGCAGAGGACATCAGATATTGTGTAGTAGTTAGCAAGATCATCATAGGCGAACATGTATCCGTTCCAAGGCTAAAAGTGACCTTACTTGTATTCTTAAAGGGAAAGGAAATATCAGATGTTTATTTGGTTATAGAATGCTTTTTTGTCCTTTATTTCCTGCTGTGTTGAGTATTTTGCTTAAACAGTATTGCCAGTTTGACTGAAATTGTCTAAAACATGACTTGGCATCTTTGTCAAAACTGCAGGCTTCCATTTTCACAGCACTGTACCATGCACCTAGTTTCTATATAGTAACAGTGTGCAAGTTAAATATTGGACTGTACCCTTTTTAGTTTTAAAAGCAGTTTGATAATTCTGGTGATTGTGTGATGATGTAAAGAGGTGCTATGATGGTCATGCAATTAATACTTAACATTGAATCAATACAAGGATCTTTATTGGATTCACTTTGTGTGTTTTTAGTGCTCTGAAGTAGCAATATTAAACTTTTCCCCAATTAAATTCATAGGCTTTTAAATTTTCAGTTAAAAACATATATGTATTGGTATTATCCTTGTGGTAAACACAAACAGTGCAGACTACCAGGGCTGACCTACATTTAGAGAAAGATGTCCAGTAATTGGAGAGTAGGCTTTTTTTGTTCAGTATTAGTGAAGGGTAGATATTGTGTACAAACGTATCCCACTTTACATTTCTTGTGAAGTAAATGCCTGTATTCAGGGAAAGGTGGGAGGAGAGGGAATGGGGAACAGTTAGAAAAGGGTTGTGTTCGATCTGCTGACAAACCAGGCTTTTGGCCGCTCGTGGAAACTATCTGGACTCATTTTAAACCTTCTCTTGACACATCTTCGGAATGGGATGACACACCAAGCTCTCAGAAAACAATTTAACACTGGAAGTTTTAATTCTGAAAAAAAATTCTGGATAAACATTATCATATGGATTAATTTGAAAGGGAAAAGGTGGCTTCCATATATGTTCAACTGAATCTACTGGTGAATACCTGCTGTAGTTCTAAGGAGACATGAACTTTGAACTCAACCAAGGCTGATTCTCTAAAAATCTTACAGTTTAGTTCTAGGTGCAAATATTTATATTAAAGAACAGCTTCCAAGTCTATGCCTTTTCTACCATTAGAAACAGTTTGTCTTTTGAAGAACTGTTGTCTAGGTCCTCAACTTCTGTTTGAGGCAGTTGGAGTGTTTTGAACTAGGTACCCCATGCACACTATTGTGAAACACAAACACTATTCAAGTTTTTTGGGGTGTTTGGTTGCAACTAAATAGGTAAACTAGGTGGATGAAGCTGAAATATGTTAGAACCATCATATTAAATTAATAGTAATAAAAAAAGCCCCCTCAGTCTCCTGTCTAAGCTTTGGATAATCTTGAGATTCTTTCTTATACAGTTTGGCCACGGGTTATAACTGTACATCTTAGCCTTTTAAATAGTTTTTCAGGAAATCTGGCTTGTAGATTGTCTCCAGTTTCTCTTTTCCAATCAGCTGAGGCCTGAGTCAAGACTGTTTTCAACTTCCGATCACCATATAGATTCCATGGCATTAAAAGTTCACCATCAAGGGCAAGGCAAGGTGAGGTTGTGCTATGCTAGATTCCTTCCCCCTCCCTCCGCAAAAAAACAAAACAAACTTCCCCCTTCCCCCCCAAAAATTTGAGGCTGTCCTCATATATGAAGGGGCATGATTTCTTTGCTTTGTAGAGCTTCCATTTCATATTTCTAGTATCTAAAACTTCAGGAGTTTTCAAACCATTGCATCATAATATGGCTGGAAGTGTACAGTTAATGGGATAATTACAATTTTCAAAATGTTCATGAAACTTGTGTTGCATAGCCTAGAAAACATACCACCTAAAGACTGCCAATGTATGTACAATTAAGTTACTACTACTACTACTGTTGACCTAAAACTATAGGGCTTTGCGTGATACTTTGAAATTCTTACGTAAGTATAGAAGTAGCTTCCATTCTATGAGACTTTGCATTTTTCAAGCCAAACAGAGATGTAAGATAGGATCTATGAGATGTAAACATTTTTTAATTCTGTAAAATGATCTAATTTTAAAGATGCAAGCAGAGGGATTTCTGACCTGAGAAATGGAAATTGCAAGTGGGTGTCATGAAAAACCTTGAATGGACAATGTGCCACTTAGTGATGAAAACGTTCTTCAGTCCCCTTCCACTTATTAGTTGAAATAGTTCATACTTGTACAAATAAACTAATTTAGGAGATCTTTTGTTTCTATAAATCTTTGATGCTGAACATTGGGATTTCTTGATGTGATACACTTACTACGTGTAGTAGTACTAATATCAGAGCTCCAAATCGCACTGTGGAAAGTACTGGGTTAAATGTGACTTACACTTAGACTCTATCACCATTATAACTACGTGCACAGAGCCTGATCTGTTTTCAATAAATGCCTCTGTTTTAAAATTAATGCTTTCAAGCTTTGCATTCAGTCTAGTACCATTTAAACTAAATTTGTCAAGCTCTTTGATTAATTTGTGCCATTATCTTTGGTAAGAGAAAGCAGACTTTAATATCTAACTGGTTGCATTAATGTTTTTGCTTGTGACTTAACACTTTTGGCAACTTAATTTTACCATTTTACATTTTGGTTTTTCATTTAGCCCCAAGTATTACTTGCTCTTTAAATGTTAATCCCTGCCAAAAATGACGTACAATGCATGTATTCATCTGATAAACGGAAGGAGAGCAAGATTGTCTCTTTAAAAAATAAATAAACAAACATGAAGTCCAGTACCCATGGCTTTGAAGACTCTCTTTCTTGTACCAGTGTAGGTAGATCAAATTGATTCATTACTTTCAGGCATTCTTCTGTTACCTTAAGCAATGGCTCTTGGAGCAAGAAGTAAGTATCTCTTACGCAGGAATTCAGAATGGTTTAGTTAGGACAAAATCATGTTTATTTTGCTTTTTTTATCTGACTTCTTGTAGTTGACATGTCTCGTGTAAAATCAAACGTGGAAGTGGGGCAAAATTACATGCAGCACATCCTGCACACAAGCTACTGAGCTTAGCTTGCATATTACTAAAGTTGAAATTTTGTTTAATGTTAAATTGGAGTTATATTACAATATAATAATGCAGAACTTTTTTTTTTAATTTTTATTTTTGGTGAAACTGAAGTCCTGCAGATAAACTCTTACACTCAAATGTGGCTTACCCAACTGGAGTAATAGACACTTTAAGTCATAATAAACCTAATTTAAAAAAAATCTGGCTGCTTTTGAAGTTTTTTATTTTTTGTTAGCTTGCTGGAAAGTCGGTCACTCCATAAGTCTAGAATAGAGGAAGGTAATTTGAAGAAGCAAAATCTTTATAGCTTTCACTTTAAGCTTATAGAGACTTCTTAAGCCAGAAAATGTGATTTATGGGGTACCTGCTCATGAGCTTGTACTTCCAGGTTGATTTCCTGTCTTTCCCTTTTATACTAAGGGTTTAACAAATGTTTACAGCTTTTGTGTAGACTTAAGTGCTGCATACAAGATGTTGGCTTACAGCATCATCAGGGTGAAATAATGTAAAGTCTTGATTCTTAGGATCATAGGAAAATAGGGTTGGAAAAGACATCAAGTCATCTCGTCCAGCCCTCTGTTCAAGACCAGGATCATTCCTGATTTAACCAAACCAATCAAATGTCTCTTCAACCTGATCATCAAAAATTTCCAGGGACAGATTCAACGACTTCTCTAGGTAGCCTGGTCCAATGCTTGACCACCCTCATAGTCAAAGTTCCGCTTAACTTCCAACCTACACTTCTGATGTTGCAGCTTTAGGTCCCTACAGCTACAGAGAGAAGCTCATCACCATCCTCTCCATAACTGACCATCAGGTATTTGTTAACAGTCTTCAAGCTTTTCCTCATGAGTTGTGCTTTCCAAACCCGTAATCATTTTGTTGCTCTCTGCTGGACTCTTCCAAAACTGTCCACATCCTTGAAGCGTGGGGCCCAAAACTGGGCACAGTATTCCAGGTGAGGTCTTATCAGTGTTGAGTACAAGAATCACTTCCCTTGACTTGCAAGTGACTCTCCTGTTAATACAATCCAGGATGCTGTTGGATTAAAAAAAAACCCCAAAAGCTTCATATTCACTTTATGGTCTACTGTAACCCTCAGGTCCTTCCCTGCAGTACTGCAGCTTAGTTTAGCCACTCGTTCCCTGGTCAGTGCTAGTAGCAGCTTGATCCTATAGAACTATGCATTTTCCTAAACATTTGGTTATTTAAGTAATCTTCAGAATGTTTTTAATTCTAAGCTCCCTAATCTTAACTTATTTACAAAAGTTTATCTTCAAGCCTAACAGAAATCATTTATCAGTCTTATTCAAGCATTGAACAGATATTATACTGTTTTTGAAAGAGTCTTGAGGCATGCATTTATCTGCAGTGCTATACCATGTACTTAGCATGGGGTGTTCAGTTTTAAACTTGGATTTGTGCTTAAGGAAACTTTCTTTGAATATGCACACATACATGCATATATCTTAGAAATTAAAATAAAAAGATGCTTATTCAATCTATTTCTTACAAAAGTTTTAATTATGAAAGCTAAATTTGATTGCCTCAGCTGAGAAGTGCAAAAAAATTATTGAAATTTATTTCTATAACTTGAATTCCCTAACTCCCTTCATGAGCCCACTTCTGATTTGTCCAAAAACTATTTGTAATAGAAATTTGAAAACGTTAGTGTTGAGCAGGTAATGATTAAAGAAATAGAGCATATCACTGCCTTACACAGTGAAGTTTGCTGCATTGGGTGGGGGTTGTATTGATTCCTTGACTAGCTAAGTTCTAGTTGTTTCTCACCTCCCTGCCATCTTCATTTAGTAAACTTCATGTCACTGATTCCACTATAAAGTTGTCTTTAAAAAAGCATGCATCTCTTTCCAGAATGAGCTGTGTTTAGATAAGAAATTGTTAAAATGAGAACTTGAGTACATTACAGTTATCAGTCCTGTGCTTGTTAACCCATTTTGTGGAAACTTGGTTTTGAGTATTTAGAGTAAAGCCTTCAGTTTAAAGCATCCAAGGCCACTTTTTAAATTTTGATCTGTATCTAAAATTCCCTTTGCAATTATTCCTCATCTTGTCTACTGTGGTCACAATAGTCTGTCACCATCCTCTTTTTATAACAACCCTTCAAATACTTGAAGACTTTGACATCCTTCTTCCTCTCCACCCCCACTTTCCAGACTAAGTAGTTCCATCTTACTAGACTCTTTTTTTTTTTTTTTTTTTTCTTTGCACTCTTAAACTTTTTTGCATCTTTCTTGGAAGTGCAGTGCTCAAAATAGATGCAGTACTTCACATGAGACCTCACCAGTGTTGAAGAATCAGAAGTGGAAGAATTGCTCCCCGTGATTTACACAAAATACTGTTAATGCATCCTAGAACGCTATTGTCTTTTTTGCAGCATCCCACTGTGTGCTTTGATTTCATGGGATGGCAATTTTGGGTTCTCTAAAGAGGTAAGAAACATTTCTCACTATTTTGATTTCAATCTTGTTTTCACCTTTAGTATAATCACTTGGACTTTTGTTGTTGGCACTTTGACAGGGAGCTTATGGTGACCATGTCTCACTTGGGCTGGGAATATACTGTTTGAAATACCTGCCCCAGGTGTCCATGAGTTTCTTCAAATGAATGTTTGCAGACAGTCCTTGCAGGAGAGGTTTTTGTAACTTGGACAGAAGCAGTAATTTGAAAAAACTGATGGGATGGTCTGGACAGATGTCTTGCCAATCCCTGCCCTTCCCCACAACACTCCAGCCACCAGCATATTCTGCTCTTTGATTCTTCTATGTATCGTAGCTCAATATCTCTCCCTTTTCCTTGACTTCCCTGTGCCAGCTACATCTGTTGCTCATGTGGAATGACATTATTAAAATATCAATGTATTGTAAGCTCTAGTGTGACTTTGTCACTTTGTTTACCCTGTCATCTGTTTTGGCCAGAACCAAGGACTGACCTATTGGCAGCTAACTCATGGCAGGCAG